AATCAGGTCCTCTTTAGATAAACTCACACAATGCTCAGTTCTGTCCACAAAATAAGGGCCAGGCTGAGTAAGAGGAATGGTGAGGGAAGGACTGCTTATTTTGCAAAAACAGGTGCAACAGAAGAACACCTTCCTGTAGTTTTTTTAATCAAAAAATGTATAAATGGGTTAATTGGGAAGAAGAGCAAAAGAGAAGTCAACATAGACATATTTTCTACAGGCAAACAACCCTCCCACACAGGACTTCTTCCACAAGCCAAATATGACCATCCTTAATCCCCAATTTCTATTTTAATCTGGAAAGGCCTGTACCTGGTCATACAACTACAAAAAATACAAACACATTGGATTTTACATGAAGTGTCACAGGAACAGTCCAAACACAATGGTCAGCCAAGGCAACTCTCTGTTCAATAAGAAATTCTTCTCTCCCTTGTGAAACCAGCACAACCAGTGCAGCACCAAACACATGACATACTGGATAGCCAGCATGAGGATCACAGCACTTCCCAAAGCCCAATCTCAGATTCCACAGTGACCAATCTCGCAAACACAGCAGGGTCCTGCTTTAACTTCTGTTCCTTCCTCAGTCCAGGCTCCCTGAATCAGCTCAACAAGGAGAACTTTGCCCTCTGTATTAATGAAGTGCCTCTGCCCAACAAACATGGTTCCAGTACACAGCATCATTAGGATGCAATACCCACCTCTTCTGCCCCTATCCCATTCTGTGCTTCTGGATGCCATTCTTTGAAGTTCAGAAATACACACACACTTGCTACCGTATTAAAGTCATTTAATACTATCAGGTGCATGTGCTTGGAGTTAGTTTTTGAATCCCAAAGATAAAAAGATATATATTGTGGACCAAGGAACTGATACCTTTACTCAGATCTTCAAGGATGACAGACAATTGAAATCGCTAGATACAGCATTCACACAGGTAGTGGACAAAATAACTGAAGTACCAATGTAAAAGCACTTATCAGGGTGTGGGGTCACCGTGTGTGGCCAGTAAGACCTGCATGTGCTGAGGCTACCTTCAACTACAATTCTGCAGGAGGGATGTTGTTCCATTGTTCCACAAAGAAGTCCAGCAAATCACATCTAGTTCACACAATCGTGACTCCAGAATATCTGTCAATGCTCAACTGAGTTCAGCTGTGGTGACTGAGAAGGCCATGACATTTGGATCACAATAATGTCAGGCTAATCAATCTACCGGGCAACCACACCCGTTCTGTGGATGGGGGCAGTGCCATCCTGAAAGACACCGCCCCCGCCAGGAAAGACCTGCTACAACAGGAGGTGAAGATGATCACTCAGTGCCATTAAGCAGTGACTAGATTTGATCTTGCCTTTTAAAGGAATATGACACACAGTGTCATACTCACAGCTTGTGAGGAAAATGTGCCTCACTACATTACAGAAGCACCAGAATCCTCCACTCTTGGAACCAGGCAATCAGGGCTGTGGAGTTATTTTGGCTGACCCCACACTGGTGTGTTTTTACAAACATGGTGAACGATGGTTCATCTGACCTGACTGCATTTCTCCTCTGTGTTATTAGCGCCTCTGGATTTGAAAACATGCGTGATTTGGTGTGGTGAGCAGTTTGTACACTGCAGCCTGACTATGGCATCTTGCTCCGTGGAGTTTTTGATGAAACTGATCAAAGGTTGATCAGGTGATCCAGGTTGAAATTTTCAGTCAGTGCCTCTACAGTTGCTTGCCTGTCTTGCCCTGCCCTTTGAATTAATGCACAGATATAACAATCCTGGAAAATTCACTTTTACCCACTGTTACCCTTTGAGGATGTCTTTCCCTTGGGGTCCATGCTGACATCACCTTAGACACCGCTGGCTCGTTTCTCACAAGCGCTGGCGGGTGCGGGTTAAAAAAAAGCCGACCCACGCACCAATATCGTCAACCATCAGAAAGATGAGAAAGTTATCTTGGACATTAAAGCTTCTGTCAAACATACCCCAACAAACACCCCTCTTTCACAGTCACTGAGGTCTCCTCCTGCAGCCATTCTAGCTATAATTATAGGCAACCAGGACTGTCCAGCATTTTACACAGGACCCTTAGTTAATTCCTTATTTAACACATGAGCCACCTCTTTGTGGAAGCCTGTGCTTTCAATATACCTGCTGCCCCACATTTTCCCAGTTGTTTCCATTTCTTGTTCACTAATTGTATCTACAAAATGCCAGGAGCCAATTCAATTCATTAGACTGCAGACTTTAATATTTAACAACCAGAACACATACAGGAACTTCAATACCACCACTTTCTTCTTAATTTAATATAATTCACAATCTATCCAATTAAATGTGTTCCAATCCATATAACCTTCTGCCTAATGACCATATATTAAAGCACAACTGACTACAATGAGGATTCAACAAAACTGAAAATCACTGCACAAGCAAAAAATACAATAGTTCAATACTGAGGTTTGTTTCGACACAGAAAATAGGAATCACTGAAGGCTCCGTCAGGAAAAGCTGATTTCATTACAGATTAAGGATGACTGCTTATGAAAAAAGATCATGTCTTGAGCAGCTGTCTTGATGGGAATATGGATTTTATTACATTTTCTTGATGTTTTGATGTAAGCTGCTAGTTTTGGAACACGTCAAGAGAGACATATGGCATTATACCAGAAAAATACATTTTTTGTTGAATACCTATTCAAAAAATAATTTGCTTTAAAAGCCCAAAAGCTGAGATAATGGCACAAATTGAAGCCAAACATTCTTGTCTGCAGCCTCTACAGAATGTATGAGGTGAAAGAAACCATGCTCCTGCCCACAAACTAACTACGAGGATTAACAACACAAAGCATTTACATGTTATCTTTACTACTTTCATTTAATTTATACATACATATTAATTGTATATTAACACAATAGGCAATTAAAATATTGTGGTAGGGATGCATACCGTGTTACACTAGAGAAAAGATAAAATCTCTCAATAGCTGTAGGGTAATTCAAATGCCTCAAGAAAAGAGAAAGGTTTCAAACACTACAGATGTAGCGCGTTTAAGTGCAAGCAACAATTCATTGATCTGCTTTGGAGTCTCGCACAAAGATTAGCTTGTATTTTCCCCATCACACAGCTAGGAAGTGTCATCGGGAACAGACTAAGAATCACAAGAGGCTCTACAGTAAGGTGTCTGTTCTGCTAAATTTAAAAGCTCAGTTCAATGGTTTCCTTGTCATATGTTTATGAATAGTTTATACATAAATCATTAATCATGATCTGTAGTCTTTGGTTTCTTTTTCCCATGCTTGACTAGTTCTTCATTTACTTTATAACTAGACTTCGCCAACGGTTTCTGAATACATTCGTACAAGTGATGTTCAAGTGCTTTACCTCTTTCTGACCCTGTTCAAGAACGCGTATTGTAGGATTAAGATGGCAGACTGCCTGACGTGATCACAATTCAGGAAGTGAGGAAATTAGTTTTCATGAACACATCCCTGCAGATTTTGTTCTTTCATCAAACATTTAAGAAGAGTCAAAAGCAACAGAAAGGGAAGTGAAACAGATAAAAATTCAGTCTATCTGCTGGGCTAAAGATCACGTTCCTAATAAACAGTTGCGCTACTTCAACTGTTATTTCAAAACGTCAAACTGGCAGGATAGATGTACATTAGCGAAACTGTTTTGACTCCACATAAGAACACGAAAAAAGATTTCTATTAAGCGACACGATGTGGTCTGAGCCCTCATTTACCGCTTATTAAGAGTGTTCGGAATTACGAAACGTTTTGTATTATGAAACAAAAACTGTTTCAGTTTACAATAATATATTAAGTTTAAAAAATTACATTTAAATATGGCTCAAAATGGGGTACTCGAAATACCTTTAAAGATTAAGTGGTGTTTCATAATTACTCATTAAACCATCACTCAGCCTTTTAAACGGTTTTAATGCAAGAATTCCTTAATTTAACTCAAATTGAATATATAAGGCGATTTTTTTCACTATTCCCTTCAGCTTGCGAAATCATGCTTTGAAGTTACAGATGAAGACTAACTACATCTGACTGGATATTTAAACAGATGTTCAGTGGATAAGAGCGGGGAAAATGAAATCCCTTTGAAGAATCAAGTAATCTGGAAACAAAAATAAACTATATACACCACACACATAGTGTCATCACAGACGTGCACAAACAACACCCTGAGAGAAACTGGACAATATATATAGCAACTTCAACAGCTTTGTCCAGTTGCTGTGTGACCTCTGCGCTCCCATGCTCTGAGAACTACGTTACATTGAATCCCAAAGTCCTATCCAACATCATAAAGGTGGTTCGTGTAAAAATTGCAGAATTATATGCACTTATCCAGCAAAACAACTACAACTGAATTGTATAATCGCCTGGCTTGTTCAGTATTTCATTAATTTTGTTAAAAGCTCAAGTCATTTTCTGCGCTGAAAATCACTTAAGTAATCATTTCTACCGATGTCTGTGAGCGCAGGGATAAAAAAAATGCACGACTACGTGAAGTCCGAAATCCTAAAAGCAGCAGCAACGCAAAACTCAGAAGGCAAAATCTCCTAGGTATTCTGCAGGCACAGCTCCCTAATATTTAAATTATCAAGGGGAAAACACTGTTGAACACTGCCCAAGTGCCATCTGCGTTTCGCTGCAACCACTTGTGTCTGGATAGTAGATGTAACAGACCTGACCCAAAAAAAACGAAGGAGGAATGTCTCACCTCCAGTAGCCCCACGTAGAAAACGTGTAAATTACACAACAGCACCTCATTTTCAGCTGGGTAAACAGCTGACCTGATTTCGAAGAAACACATTTACGTACCTCTAACAACACAACCAGCCACAAGTTGCCAAGAAAGAAAAACAGCTGTTTAGGGTTAACGCGTTCAAGGAATTCTCTTACCACAAAATACAAGAAAAAGAGGCATGTGCATATTTAAGAGCAGAAGAGCGTTAAGGCAAAAGCAATGTAGCTTTAACTTACGTAACGTCTCAACTTTTTCTCAGGCGGAGACTTTCTCAGCCAGCCCGAACACACGATATCTCCCCCGCTCATCCTCTCGCTCTTTTTCCTTGCCGTGGAGACGTTTGTTCCGGGCGTAACAAGCGAGCAACTAAAGAAAAACAAGACAAAGTATTCTAGTTTGCCGTGTGTGCAAAATCAGAAGTTCCAACTGTGGATATGCTATTATCTATCGTTACTGCGATTTAAGATAGGAAGATAGATACCGACACTCCTCCCTCGCGTTTCTGTCCCCACGGTTGCCCGACTCTCAAATTCCAAACACGACTCTTGTTCAGTTCTTACTGGAAGGTGGAGGGGGGGAAACTTGATTCAAACCACTGGATCACTTTCGTTGAAGAACAAATACGTGACGAAAACTTTCTTTTCCCGCTTTCCACCGAAGTATTCCGTACAATTCGGCGTGTTGTGCTGCTCCTATCTGAAGGATTTCTTCCTACACAGAAGTGACCTGTGTTTTCTCTTTCCAAAACCGCAGGCTGTACTGAAACTCGCCAAGTTTGACGTCCTGGGAAAGAGTGGTATTGTGTCTCCGGACCAAACAAACCCCTCTACTTTAAGCTGGAGCGTGGTTTAATAGAGTTCCTCCCGTTGTTATTTTTCACTGCCTGTGTGGTGCAATTTCACCTGGGATTTCTCTTCCCACCCCGACCTTCCTCCCAGTTTCAGTCTCTCGCTCCCTGTGTTGGCTGGTTGATTGACAGTCAGGAGCAGCGATTCGCTCGCGTAAGTCAGTCTTTCCCTTAAACTCAACCTCTCAGGGAGGGGGGTGAATGCAAAGGGATACGCAAGGAGCGCTACGTTGTGGGACTTGTAGTTCCTTGTGATTTTGAAGTCGTGGGAGAGCTACTGGCAAAGTCTTCTTAGTTCAGTGATCCTATAGAAACTAGCTGAACGGCCGTGCTAACGATAAGGATTTCTGCATGACAATTAGACGTCGCGAATTCAGTTTCGTGAGTTACGCAGCTACATGCTCCGCTGGAGCCCTGGTGGGTCTCCAATGCATGGAACTACAGTAACCAGGATGCAGCCTTGCATTTCTATGGATCACTGTGTAATATGAACGCTGATACACACGGAGGGAAGGTAGCTCTTTGTGGGAACTGCGAAATTTCAACAAAAGGATGTTGGCTTACCATGTATGGAAGGTTACTTGATTCAACATCTACAGTATGTAAATAAAACCCCGTCTTACCATTCACAGCTGTAGCCGTCATTTTTCCTTACTCTAAAAACATTTTTAATACATTTTCCTAACAACATACTTACATATGTTAGGAAAAGGAACGCTTTTTGACATTAAATTTTAAAAGGCGTGTTATTATTACTAGTAATAACAATAAACCTTTTTTTAGCAGACGCCTTTATTCAAGGCGACTTATCCACGAAACAGTCGTTAAACTGTAAAAAATAACAGTGCATATGTAGAGGTGTATTAAACAAAAACAATTACAATAGGGCGATGCAGTAATAAGTTGTAATACGATAACCAAACCCATATTTGGGTATACAGTATATTTCTCTTTAACAAATAAACACACTGAATTTCCATTGTGTAGTTGGTGTATTTTCTCTTGGAAGCACTTTGATTCTTGTAAATTAACCCTAGATTCATCCAGTTTTGTATCAAGAAAGACCAGTTCTCCGGAGGACTGGAAAACGCAAATCTAATAAATGTTAAAGGCACCATAAATACGGCCTAAGCCATGTATCCTATACTTTGTATTACCTGTTGTGTGTAGTAATATAATTTCTAACTTCATTCCTGTTTCGCTTGTTTTAAGGTTGATGTAGTTTCTCATAAAACTCGAATCATGCAATACCATAAACTAAAGAAAAAACGAATGTCTGAATTTAATACAGGTAAATAGGACAATATGGAAAAAAATCTAAGCAAATTATGTACGCTATCTAAAACCAAACTGATGACTAGTTGTGTATCTGTTTACAGTATCAGGGTAAACACAACAATATGAGAAGCGCACATATCAGCTCACGCAATGCAATGAGAAAATGGTCGAATCAAGAGATCAAGCTGTTTACAGTACTTCAAAGATAGCACACCCCTGTAATAACTCGGCTCCCCGCTGCGAAGAGGCACTTTACTCATGAAAAGAGGGGGAGGGTATTTCAACGAACGTAGAGATCCGAATTGATGATAAAACAAATATATAAAAGTATAACATGTTTTGAATGTCAGTGAATTAGGTTGTTAATCGAAACATAGTTCAAGTGTCAAGCACGACCATCTGTACAGTGGACTAACCCTTCATCATTTACAGAGTGTTTCTATTTATAATTTGACTAGAGGACTATACACTTTACTAAACCTAATCACTGAAAACCCATTGGGGTTTGTTTTCCAACTTTTAGTTGTGTCCATCAAAGTAGAAAACTGATCATTGCTATTTTCTGTTGTCTCTGTTTCAGGCTTGGTGAAGGGTAACCACTAGTTTCAGGGAAACTCCTTTGGCATGTCTTCTGTAACCTCGGGGTCACATTAATATGAAAGTACCGAATGTTAAAGCACTACCGTTAGTACGGGACAAAGCTTAAGAAGCACCATGTAAAACAAGCCCACGCCATCTCTCTAGGTAGCACTGAAATGCTTTGGCATGAAGAGAAAGGAATCTGTGGAATGTTATTGTGATTTTAAGCTTCAGTCCATGGTTTCTTGGAGACCAGTGTCCCTTGAGGTTCTGCTCTTCCCCTGGTGGTTTCTGGTGAAATGTTCCGCTATGAGCCAGCCACCATTTAATCCTGTAACCCGGTGTTTTATTTATTTGCTGTTTACAGGTACTGGTTCCTTTGAAATTGTATTAAAATAAGCAAAGCTGAGATTATCAGACCCACTGTGACATTTACAGAATATTTTGTTTCTGACAGTGCCAATACTCAGTTTTTACATCACGTCAGAAAAGGGGGTTAAAGTTTCATGTAACAGTGAAGAATGCAAATTACTTTTGGAATTACCAGCTCAACAGATATCTAAGGTATATTTTTCACCAGCCTTGGATATAGTCCAAGAATGCTCCTCATACACACAAAACAATAGAAGTCAAATCTATAAGGTAAAACTCAGTTTCCTTTGGTACGTTGCTTGGTCTCAACAGAGCTTGGATATACAGTGTTTTTAATTTTACAAGAAGAAATTAATGTACCAATGAATTTATGGTTTCAACATATTTAAATATATTGATTGATATGAAGATGCATACGGTCTTTACACTCAATACCTGTCCACAATCAGGAAATAAAATTAAAGGCATCACTGATGAGATTCAATAGATAGTACACTGTTAGCCATCATAAAATTTTACTGTCACAGAAAGCCACAACCAGGATACTATGAATGCAAAGTGACACAGAGATATTGAAGCACTAGTGCCTGATATCTATTGTAAAGTTTGTTCCACTTGCATACAGCATTTCTGTTAATGTGCTCTACATCTGATGATTGTCATGTCATATGTCATGAAGGACAAGACTATTTGCTTGGTTTTGGCTGACAAACCTAAAAATGTCACGTTTTTGTTAACATCAACAATAATAATAGTAATAATAATTCTTCCTTACACTTATATAGCACTTTTCTGGACACTCCACTCAAAGCGCTTTACAGGTAATGGGGACTCCCCTCCACCACCAATGTGTAGCTCCACCTGGATGATGCAATGGCAGCAAAAGTGCGCCACAACACCCATCACACATCAGCAACAACACTCACTCACAACACTCACAACAACACCCATCACACATCAGCAACAACACTCATCACAGCAACACTCACAACAACACCCATCACACATCAGCTATCAGCGGAGAGCCGAACGAGCTCCTCCCATTTTGAAACCTTCCTATATTGTTCTTATTTGAAATACAGTATCTGGTGAAACATGTCTTCATATAATATACAAATATTGTATGAACATATAGTGTTCTACTATGTTTTGTTGTTTCACATACAGATTACAGAATACTTTAATGTATACATGAAATGGCTTGAAATTAAGCAATGATGTATACAGTACATGAAATGGCATTATTGGCCATTTCAATGTTCAGAGGGTTCTCCAGTGTTGCTTATTCTGAGTTGTGATAAGAAATGTCACTAATGACAGTAAAGTCAACTGACAGTTTCTTATGATTTGTCATTCTTGTGTCAGATTATCTATCACCTGAGAAAATACATTTTACTGCACATAAATGAATTTAGAGTTTATTGTCATCTACAATTCATACCGCTTGTGATGAATCTGATTTTGATATCATACTGATAGTTGTATTCTTGATAGTTACATTAAATAGGAGGTTAAATAGTGTGATACTTTAATTACTCAAAGCACTTGCTCTTGGAAGCTGCAGCCTTCCAGGTCTATTTCTAGACTGATTAAAAACTCAGATTTTGCTACATACCGTACTGCTGTATGGGGAAATGCATTAAACCTAATGGCAATCCCATAATACATGTTTCTAGAACCACATCAGAAAAACAAAACAAAACCACAGACAGCAATTCTCTATTTCATTCTAGAAGCACAGCAAGTTGTGAAACTAATTTGGATAAAATGTTGTGTATTAGTCCAGATTTACTTCTCTTGGCTTTTTTTTCTTTTGAAAAAGAAACCAAAATGCACCCTACAGGTATGCTGTGCTGTAACAGCATGTTTTTGAATATGTGCCCTGATACAAAAATTGAAAGAATACTGTGCTCATTATCTGTTAGAGCGTCAAACAAATAACAAATTGTTGTTAATGCAAGAAGAGATTATATATTTGGCATCATGAATCTGTAAAGAAGTGAGAGATATAAAGACATCACAGATCGGTCTCAGAATCCCTAGGCTAGGATTTCTCATGAACAGAGTGAGAAAATGAATTCTTGTCACTATATTATAAGTAAAAAAGATTTCCTATATCAACATATTAAATATAAATGTTTGTTTAATTTTTAATGGAAGGATATATGAATTGCAATTAACCATCTTGAATGATCCTGGATTCAGGGATGATGTATGAATGTATAAACTAAACTAATATATAAATATGACAGAGTTGAATACTTTCATCTCATTATAAATGCTGAAATGTAGAGGACTCTTGCACGTTCCACAGATGTTTTGTTGTTATTATTTTGGGAACAATATGAAACCATGTTTTGTGAAGACCTAACAATGTTTATTAGAAAACATTCAAGCTGAAACATATAAAAACAATTAAGAGTATTTTCTAATCACTTTAGAGCTTCTGGCAAATAGATGTGAAAAGACGTGGACTGCAGAACTCCTTAGATATGCTTTTATTACTGAGTCACTTGCTATAAATGACAACTTAAACATTGATTTAAAAAAATGTTTTTGTATTTACTAATGGCAGTGGTGCCTCAGAAATATTAGTGTTGATGAAATTTTGGTTTCTGATTAATTATAAAAATAACAATGAAAGCTATTAAACTTGAAAGCAGACATTATGAGGTATATACTGTAGTTATGGCATACATTGCTGAACACAGCATTTGGGAACACTAAAGACACATTTGAAGAGGATTTTTGCACACCAGACGAAGACCTTAGCAGTTATCAGTGAGTGTTATTAGTCATGTTCTGTTTTACTTTAACTGTTTACTTTCTCTGCCAGCAGCCTGAGCTTAGAGACATTCGTTGTGCCACAGATGAAGGACAGTAATAACAGTATTTTCCTTACAGTACAGAGTAAATAAGATTGATGAACGGTAAAACACTGTTAGCAAA